TTTTGTCTATCTGTCTGTATGTTCGTTATAGAAACAAAAACTACTCGACGGATTTTAACGAAACTTGGTACAATTATTCTTCATATTCCTGGGCAGATTATAGTATACTTTTCATCACGCTACGATCAATAGGAGCAGAGCAGTGAAGGGAAATGTTGGGAAAACGGGAGAAGTTACTCCATTTTTAAGCTTCCGTCGCGTGTGCAGCCTTAATGGCCACTTTTTAAAATATAAAAATGTCCATCCGTGCGACGCCGGGACGGGACGCTAGTTTATAATAATATTAGACTATAAGAAACGTTTCTACAATACCTGTATCCCATATATTTGAGGTCATCGCTCTTTTTTGAAGGGGCACATAAAACATACTATAATACTGTAGGGGATCGTCCTATATTGTACTTGTCTATACGAAACCGCCAGTCAATGACCTTTCTTCCCTTTTGTTTGTAGTTTCTTTCATATCAATGGAAATGTTCTAATTAAGGTAACAAACTCACTTTCACGTTTATAATACAAGTATTAGTAAATTGCCGGGTGGTTCCGACATAAAATAGGCCATCCCTTACTTTCCTGTGGGTGTCGTTAGAGGCGACTAAGGGAGCTTAATAGTGGAGGGATGAGTAGCGGAGTTCCTCTTAAAACATCACTACATACCTAACACCAGTTGCCAACCCGCCTGCCAATCATGGCAACTACTGGCAAAACTCCCCTATGGAAGGCTTATATTCAGAAGTTAACAGTTGACGACAGATTTGATGACGATGATTAGTAAGGATATGGGATACATACACGTTACGTAAAATTTTGAAAAACCTGTTTTATATGGATCATATTAGAATTCATTTCGTGATATCAGCAAAAGTGGCCATTTTAGATCTCTACGGAGGCACTATTTTCGCTTTAACGGCTAAACCGATAGTCATGAAAACTGAAACTGAAAAAGAATTCGACTTGAAGCTACTTCATAACCTTTACGGACGAAGTCGCTAGTAAAAACTAGAATATTAAAAGTAAAAAAAAAAAACAACATTGTATGACAAACGAATTTATTATTATTATTATTATACGAAATGTCACCAACAATTATTTTTACATAGAATAATTCATTCCCAAATTAAGGATTATGATATAATTTATATATATATATATATATATATATATATATATATATATATATATATATATATATATATATATATATATATATATATATATATGACATTTGGTTAAACTTAGATTTTTTTAATAGGCGACGATGGAATGGTACCGCCGCCTGCTCTATCGGTATACGCTGGCAGGGCACCAGTGAGAGATGACAGGTGAGAATTAAAGCGGGTCAGTTAGCCCATCGTAACTAATTCAAGAATTAACCACGATACTAGTTTCCAGGGGGAACCGGATGGAGGTCGACCCGATACCGTATATTGCTAGCAATAGCTTGACCGCGATGCTTGACCCCATTAATAGCAATCGCTTTCCCCTAGACATTATATTAGATATGGTATTACCTTAGATTATATAGATAGAGCACAGTTTCAAAAAGGAGTCAACTTTTTGACAGCTAATTGTCAAATTAGTTGACTCGTTTGTTTTTTTTTTTATTAATGGTCTATAATACTTACGCACATGATATCTTGACGTATCTATATTTAATTATTTAATAAATAAAATTAGTTTTCGCGCATTAAAAAGGTGCAAAATTTATAAAACAAAATATAAAAGTTATAAAGGAATCACTCATAGCTATTTATCACGCAAAATTCTATGAAAAGCTTCTCTCGAAGCATTTGTATGGAGACACACTATCTATATAATCCAAGGGTATTACCATAAGATTAACAATACCCATACATTAGAGAAGAGTTATGTTACAAAGTTTTTACAGTTATCAAAGCTCGCTTCAGAAACTGCTCTCTAATTAGTTTCGGAAGCAATTATAAAGTTTGTCACTTCAAAATTTATACATATAGATTTTGAAGTGACTATAGATATAAAGGAAATACATACATACATGATATTACTAAAATAACAGGTATAAATTATATATATGCTACGACAGTACATTTTGGACTGTGTTGCCCGTTGTACTTCTCTTTGTTGCCATTCCATAAAACGTAGGTGTTATACCACCATATTCTATAATAATTTTACTGCCATAACGTCACAGTCGTAGAATACTGACGGATCTGACAAAGATTACATATAAAGATCCGTCAGTATTCTACGGCTATGACGATATCTCCCTTTCAAACTGAAACATGGACATGCAGGCAAAACAGGTCATTTAATAATAAAAATGATATGTTTTTCTGAAATAAAATATCTTTTTTTTTTTTCTAACAGGCGTAACTAATAATCTTATGCATGGCATAGAAATTGTAATGGTCCCTTAACTACAATATTTCTCATATAATTTATAATATCAGTACTTAAGTACATTATATACATTAAAATTGGTTTATATGTCAGTTTATATAGACAATGAACTTGTGCTTTCTTATATAGCAAGTACAATTGAAGTTACGTGTTGGCTTAAATTATATAGATATAGCATCGAGTCTCAAAAACGTCTCAACATTTTGTCAGCTAATTGTCAAATTAGCCGACAAATTTTTTTCATTAGTGTTCTATAAATTTACGCACACAATGTACCTTGACGTTATTTAATAAATAAAATAAGTTTTTGCGCATTAAAAAGATGCAAAATTAATAAAAACAAAATAAATATAGAAGTTATAAAGGAATCACTCATAACTATTTAAACACGCAAAATTGTATGAAAAAGTTGACCCGCTTTTCTCGAAGCGTTTGTATGGAGACACTCTATCTATATAATCTAAGCTTGGCGGTTATATGCGATGATAAAAAATTATGTATTGGCGTCTGTTCACACTATACCTGGCTATACGAGTACATGACCAGAAGGTCTACCATGAAATGTTTTCCGCAATTTCGTGGGCGAACGAAACACAAATTAGACGTTAAAATTACATAATACATAGTATTTAAAAATATTTAAAATGTTAAAATATCATTCCTTTGGACTTTTATGGTAATATTTATGACGAATGGAATATTAAGCTCTGTATTTACTGGACCGATTTCGGTATGAACAAAAACAACAGTCTAGTTTCTTGTCCGTTCTAAACTGAAACTGTATTCCGAATTAACGGTATAATAAAAATAACGACTATTCAAAAATGCTTCAATTTAAATTATTTCTTTCCTTTTTTTTAGAAACGTAAGTACATCACGCGAAATACATTAAAAACGCTCTATGTAAATGAGACCTAAATCTAAGTTTTGTTACATCATGTCACTTTTTTTAAAAACGTTTTTTTAAATATTTGTGTGAAAACAAACTACTAAACAGTACCGTAGCAGTTCTTTTAGCTATAAGGTCGCATTTTCTAATTGTATATACTGTAGCAGCATTGTATATCTCTGTTATGTACGCAATAAAGAGTTCGTTCGATTATAATTTTAACCTAGAAATTTGCGGGATTGCATTTTACATTAGTCAGACAATTACAAATAATATACTCTGTGGTTAATCGAACGTGCTCTTCTATTAACCACAGAGTACCTTCTTTATATCCGGTTCCATTTTCTATGCGTGCACACAGAGTAATAATTTTTGTGAATCTCGCAACCTGCGGCTGTAAACCGCTCTTTTTCCGAACGAGATTACTTCCTATTTTATTATATGATCCCGTCATTTCAGAGTCCCTTTATCCTGGAATGGTTTGGCCCAATCGTTTCAATTTTTTGCCGATTTTCACCCTGTAATAAAACCCGTGTCTTGAAAATTACATGAGAATTTATACAGGGTAAAAGGGACAGGTTGAGCAAAACGAAAACAGCTGATTCATATGAATGGTCTCAATCAGATGGCAGATGGCCAGAAATGTACCACAACCATACAATTAACGATTCTTAGTTTTGCCGGAGCACAATGTATTTAAAACTTTACGATACACACGACGCTTAATAGTACTTCTTCGTAGGTAGTATTAACCCTCTGATCGCGTTTTTTTTTTTTCACAACAATAAAACCCATCGCTTCGAAACGTTTATTACATCTAGATAGGAAAAACCTCAAAATAATGATAGGGACAATAACGGGCCATTGTCCATTAAACAAACATTTATACACAATACGAGCCACAGACAGCCCTCTATATCGAGGCTGTTTCGACGCCGAAGAAACGGCTGCCCACGGAATCCTGGAATGTAAAGCTGTAGCCCATCAACGTTTAGAAATCCTCGAAACGATGAGGTCGCTCCGTGAGGCCTGTGAAGATCTCAGGAAGCTTCTGTGCTTCTGGACAGAGCTAGATTGGCTGTACTAGCCACGAGTCATACGCACAACGGGCCAAATGAGAGGCTAAGCGCGGAAAATAGAGTCCTATTTACATTACATTAAAAAACACATCGCTTTGACAACAAATAGCAGTACGAATATTTAGCCCTCTAGTGAGATTCTGAGAAACAATATCAATTTACCAAAACAAAAATCGCTCGATAACAACGTCAATAAAAATAAAAAAATGTAAGTATGTCAAAATCGCGGGATACGTAAAATTTAACTAATAGATATTACACACGGAAATCGCAGGATGCCCGGTCAAAGAGTTAATGTGTATGTAGTAATTTCTATTGGCTTTTAGTTCAGAATAACGGTCTGAATTCAATTAAAATTTTTGCCAACCTGTCTCTTACACCCCGTGTTTTTTGAGGGAAACCTTTTTTTTATACAACATAAAATGGCAAACAAGCTGACGGCCCACCTGATGGAAAGTGGTAACCGTCGCCTATAGACATAAGCAGTACCATGGACATAACAGAGTATACTGTTTCGCCCATGATACCCCCCATGCGTTGCCATTCCTGAGGACTCAGGTGTTATTCCTCTGTACCCTGTAAATTCTAAAACTAAGAGGGGTGGGGATATACGATATATATATATATATATATATATATATATATATATATATATATATATATATATATATATATATATATATATATATATATTCGACGGGTATAGGCGATGACCATTCTTTCACCATCTTTTTTCGAGTAACCATAATCAGTGTTTTGGCAAGTAAACATGGGGTAATGTAGCGGCATAAAAATCGGAACCGCATAGCCAAGATATATATGTACAGACGCTTACAAGCTGACGTTATATATTTTTATGACAATAAAAAAAAAAGAAAGATAAGTACTAAGATATTTTATAGATTTGTCTCAAAAATATCTTCACATTTATTATGCATACTTAAACCTATTTGGATATTTGGCAAATACGTTTTGACTAGACATTTGTTACAATAATGAGATCAAATTAATTTTATGGAAAATTGAGGAAAATTTTAATGGATACATATTTGTTATTAATTTATTAAATTAATTATTATTAGTGGTTATTAGATTTACCCTATCCAGCATTGATCCGGTGCATCTTAGAAAAGCGAAAAAAAAAAACGCTCTGCTAAATACGACAAATAAATGTAACTTTTTCGTCAAATTCATTGCTTGAAGTACATTTATTATATGCACTTTAATATAATTTGTATTCTATACATATTATATAGAGTACGACATACTTATTTTAATAACAGTTGCCATTTAATTACGTATTATATAAATGTATTATAAATTTTAATATTTTAATTTTATTTTTTTAATTTTATAAGAAGACTAGAAAACATGAAAGGCGGTTGACTGCAGTATTATTTTTAACCTTAACACATTCATATTAGGTTCTATTTGGGGTTGACTTAGCATTAATTTGATTTTCATCGGAATAAAAATCACTGGTTTACATAAGACTTAGTAGAAACCAAGGGTGGGTAATATATAATATACAATATCTATTTATTGATCCAATAACAAATATAATTAAATATCCTATATCCAATCCAATCGAAATGAATATAGATTTCCGACGGGTATGGATGATATAGCAATAGTTGAAGATCTTTCTTCTGTCAATAATGTGCATCAAAACCCAATGTATAGATATTGGTATATTGGCATCGATATTACCCATGCCTACTGGAAAAATTTCTTTTTTTTTATGTAGTGATATTATTATAAAAACATTTGCACTCTTCTAGAGTTTGTGAAAGAGTACAAGTGTTTATTATTAATTTAGTTAATTAAGATAATATTTTGAAAATTATCAGTAAATGTTATTTTAACTGTTTCTACATACAGTTAGACAGACTTGATATATATGTATGGTTAAATTAACACAAATTATGAATGTATATTATAAAAAAAAATTGCACTTTGTCCATATAAAACTTAAAATTACATTGAATTACAAAATTGCATATAATGTCAAATTGAATAGCTTTTTTTTTTTATTTTAAAAATACCATCAATAATTCTAAAAAGATCATTATATGTTACCATTACGATCTCCCATCTGTATATTTCAGATATTGTCCGGCTGTCTATCTGTCTGTATACTAACTTATGTTAAACATATAAGTTATTACAATTTAACAATTATTTTATTAAGTATATTTTAAATGAGATTTTATTATCTGCTGATTTACATTTTTTTTTTCATTTACATATCATTATTTGTTCATAATAAATGTCAATTCATTAAACGCCACTTTAATGGCCACTAAATATAATAAATTACACTCAAGTGTGAAAATAAAACTTATATTTTAAATATTAAACCAATATGGCGTTCAAATATATATTTTATCCAGCAACTAACAAGCTTAAAACCATATGAAAATTGCAATATGAACATAAAATTGACGCAAACACCTTTGACGGACTATTTCAGTGATGTGTATCTAAACTAAACATAGGCCTCCCCCATAGGGGGTGTTGGACAGTAGTTGCCACGCTTGGAATGTGAGTTGGCAACCGCAGTTATGCTTTGGTCACGTTTAAAAGGGACGCTATTGTCAAGGCCAGTTAATGGCTGATATAATAATAATAACTAAACTAATATAATAAAAAGATTTCAATTTATAAACTCATAACGTATTCGACCGGTTTTAAATATTCTTTCGAGTACAGAAAGCCACATTAGCAGCAGTTTAACTTCGAAAATGTCACATTTCGTCATAATTATGTATTAAGGGTGTTTATACTTTAGCTTATCGAGGTGCGACAAGGGCGCGATATCTGTCAATTTTAAACTAGCAATTTTCAATATGTCTAGTTGATTACATAGTGCTTTGTTAGCGAAAAAAAACCTTTAAACATGTTATCTACATATAAATCTACCACCACTAAAAACTTTAGATCTACTTCATGTTTTGTTTTAGAATTTTTCAAATACATTTTTTGTCATCAACAGCCCAATATTTCGTATGTCATAAGAGGCGACTGGGGAGGGCGCGGTAAGGACAGCAGCGTTCCTATAAAAATAACTCCAAAGCCTAACTGCGGTTGCCAATCCGCTTGCCAAGCGTGGCAATTACTGGCAAAACCCTTCCAAGGGGGCGACTTATGTTCAGCAGTGAACAGTTAAAGAAAGCGCTTCCTGATGCCTTTAAGAGACTACCGACTAAACCGTCTTTCAAAATAAGCGTTCACGCTCACTTTTTATTTTTATCCGAGCAGTAAGTGCTTTATATTATTTCCAAATTCGTGTATAATATAGTATACATCATATATGTGTAAGTATATTTGTTATTCATATATATTTATTCATTTATATATGTAATTTTAGTATGTATGTATATCAATAATTAGTAGTACCGCATTCGAGTATTCTGACACTACCCTATGGTTGACTGGGAGAGAATGCTTTTAGCATTAAGTCCGCCATGTACACATATTTGTACTAATAATTTAAAAAAAAAATGATATGACAATGATATCTAAAATTACATAATTTTAGATATATGTTCGCAATCAATGTATTTATTAAGCAATCAATCATAAATATTAAAACAATTTCAATTCTTTTTGACAGTTGACAAATAATTGTGACGTCGCCATATTTCGGTACGCTAAGGTATGAACGCTCTTAAGTTACCACTGAATGTATCGACATAAGGGATAGGTTGATGTTCTACTATCTCTTTCTATCAACTACTTCAGTTTATTAAGACGGAAGACGCGCGAAAGGTGATATTTTTCTATGTAACAAATGTATTGTCTCCAATTTTGTGCCCACCATGCAATTTCCATTTGATCAATCTTAACACATTTACTCTATGACTAATAAAAATATACTATACCATAGACAACGTTTGGAGAGTGATCATCCAATACTTTGCAGGGAATGCTTGAACTGCAGTAATTTGCTGAGATTCGCATACACTAAGTCTTGTGGATTGGATATCACGAAGTACACCAGACCGAGGATTGATAGCACGGCCCGCCATATTGAAAAATGGGTCCAGGTGTGGTAGAAAGTTGGTATTGTTGGCTGCAATTAATATACAAACATATTTATTATTTGCAGCATATAAAAAATCTGTAAAGTGAACACGTTTCTAAACTGTGGCATGGAGATTTCATAATTTTGATACCATAAAGGTAGAAAACAGAGGGAACTGCATAGAAGTCGACTTGATTGGATATGTAGCTAGCAAAAGGTATTATTAGATCTCCATTATTAACAATTTCAAAACCATCTTGGTTAATTCTTTATAAGTCAGTCACTATGGGCCAACTGACCTGCTTTCATCCTCACCTATCATCTCTCATTGGTGCCCCACGTTTACCGGTAACGCAGGCGGGGTTACCATTTCATTATCACATTAAAACATAAACTGAAAGCCCATTTTATAAGAAGTGCCATTCTAAATTGTATAAAAAAAAAATGTCTATAGATATGAACTACTAATTAATACATACAATAACGAGCTCCCTGCCGAGGTTTTCCCAAGAGACTACAGCATGGGGTTCTTCAAAGGGAGGGTAAAGAGGTTTCTTCAGTGTCGGCAACACACGCGTAATACCTCTAGTATTGCAGGTGTTCATAGGCTATGGTAACCACTTACCATCAGGTGGGCCGTATGCTTGTTTACCACCTCAGTGGTATAAAATATATATATATATATAAGAATCATCAAAACTCACAGTGGTAACATTGCAGCCAGTCATGTTGTACACCATTGGAGCGTACTGGTACACCATCAGTTCGTCGTACATCCGCGCCGCGTTACAAACCAACAGGCACGCCGTATACAATATCACAAGGACTATGGGCTGGAAGTATGGTTGCAGACCTCTGGTCAAATCTAAGCTGGTCACGTCCAATCTGTAAATTAAGAAAAAGGTTTTAAACAAGGATTAAAATGTAATGATAATCCTGCCCATGATACAGTATAAACTTGTTTGGTGGGGGGAAAGGGGTTGTTAGCAATGGAGTTTGACAGCCCCATTGTTAGCCCTATTAGGTCGACATCCACGTTGTTCCCCTTGGAAATCATCGTGAACAATTCTTATTGAATCCGTCACGATAATCTAACTGACCTGCTTCATCCTCACCTATCATCCTTCACTGGTGCCCCACCGGTATATGTCGATAGCGCGGGTAGGGTTACCATTCCATTATCATCAATTAAAAAAAGACCTCCCTGGCGAAGCAGTGTAAATGCAGGGTTCGACTTCCGATCGGGGGTTATTCAAGTATTATGTAATGCAATTTCTGAAGATATTTATCCTATAAAAGTCACTTCCAATACGATTAACTCACCTATCCAAAACGGAAAGTAAACACAGCACGCAAAAGAAGTAATACGCTGCCACATATGGCATCGTGACAACCGCATGGAACGACAAGTGTCCTGCGTCGAGACCATCTGAGTAACTGATGAGGAGCAAGTGCATCAGTGACAGCCCTCCGAGGACACCGTGGCAGGCTAGAGCGCAGCTGCGCCATGCTTTTTGCGCGGTTATTGCTACGTCTAGGGGTGTCAGATCACCCATTCTGAAATTTTATTAAAACGGTTATGTTTGTACCACTCCAGACAAAGACTTTGTATAAAGTCATATATACCTCTAACTCAACTATTTTTATCACTGAAATTTCTTTATTGATTTGAAAGATTTGACAGTAAAATTATCGAGTATTACATTGCAAATTAAATTTTTTTTTATACAACTTAGAATGGCAAACAAGCTGACGGCCCACCTGATGGAAAGTGGTAACTGTCGCCTATAAACATAAGCAGTACCATGGACATAACAGAGTATACTGATTCGCCCATGATACCTCCCATGCATTGCCATTCCTGAGGACTCAGGTATTATTCCTCTGTACCCAGTAAATTCACGCCATATCTCTCTTCAAACCGAAACACAGTCATGCAAACACAACTGCTTCACGGTTGAAACACGAATAGGACAGAGGTACCCAAGCAATCGACTTTTGTACAAAGTCTCCCTCTGGTCCTCCATAACATAGACTGGCAAAACGTGAATAATATCATTTGTTGTTGCAAATGATCATGAGCTACAATAATAGCTTACAATTAGGTGGTCATTACTACAATAAAAAGAATATAAAAATCTGGCAATAATATAAGAATATCGAAATAAAATTGACAATTGACATATCTACACTCCTCGCAAAAATTAAGGGAACATAAAAATTTTTGAAATTTTTGGGTGATTTTCAACAGGCTGTATTTCAGTGAAAAATAATCGTACAGGAAATTTAAAAAAAGGGTTTTGAAGCTTGAAAACTCTAGTTTTCAGATTTTTTGGTAAAAAAATTTTTTGAGCTCCAGTTTCCATGCAATTCTTAAACAAAGCTGAAAATAATTTTTTTCTAAATTTTCTAGGTTTCGTTTTTCACTCTATGGGCATGGAAAAATTTTTTCGAGCTATTCCATTATATAGGTCTCTTAGCGTGTTTATTCAGCTTCAAAAATCGCTTTGGATGGCTCAATTACGACCATTTGTCTCCGAGATATCGAACTTTGAATGCAAAAGCATCCTTTTCCATTCAACTGCTAATATCTCTGGAACTACTGGTCGCACAGCAAGCGGGCGCCGAGTTTCTTTATCTGCATAAAATTTTCTTCATTTTTTTCGATTTTTTTTTTGATAATGAATTTTTAAAAAACAAAAAATTGAGTAAAAAGTGAAAAACAAATGAAATTATTTATTTTTGAATGGATTAGGGTGAGTTTAAGGGACAAAAACCTTGTTCCCTTATTTTTTCCAAAATTTCAATCAATTGGTCCGGGAAAAACCGTTGAACCGATCGCTCCAGGGATTTAGGGGGTTCTTTAAGGAACAATAGACTGTAAAATTTTCCTCAAACCTTAGCTTTCCCGCCCATATTAGCGAAGATACAGCCAAGTAACCAAAAAAGAGGAAAAAGTCACTTTTTTCCACTTTTTTCAATTCAATGTTAGAGGTGGAAAAAAATTTTTTCTTCACTAACTCTTGACTGTGCTTAATTGGAAATTTTATGTAGAGAAAGAAACTCGGCGCCCGCTTGCTGTGCGACCAGTAGTTCCAGAGATATTAGCAGTTGAAAGGAAAAGGATGCTTTTGCATTCAAAGTTCGATATCTCGGAGACAAATGGTCGTAATTGAGCCATCCAAAGCGATTTTTGAAGCTGAATAAACACGCTAAGAGACCTATACAATGGAATAGCTCGAAAAAATTTTTCCATGCCCATAGAGTGAAAAACGAAACCTAGAAAATTTAGAAAAAAATTATTTTCAGCTTTGTTTAAGAATTGCATGGAAACTGGAGCTCAAAAAATTTTTTTAGCAAAAAATCTGAAAACTAAAGTTTTCAAGCTTCAAAACCCTTTTTTTAAATTTCCTGTACGATTATTTTTCACTGAAATACAGCCTGTTGAAAATCACCCAAAAATTTCAAAAATTTTTATGTTCCCTTAATTTTTGCGAGGAGTGTATTTGTTACAGGATTTTAAACTCCTTCCAGTATCATATTTTATTCTTCCTTAAGTCTCTTATTATCTTATTTTTATTCACATACGGGGTCAACTAAACCGTTGCATGCCGATCCATGTATCTTTTGTGTTTCTCCCTGCCTTATAAACTTATTATTATTATTTGTCTTATTTTATAAATCCTATATGTTATGTAACATACATAACTCTATGATAATGCTGTGGTTTAAGATATCTAGTCTCCTGACTCCCAATAAGACGAGTGGGAAAGGGATTGTTAGCAATGGAGACAGCCCCATTGCTAGCAATATGCCTTATTAGGTTGACCTCCATGTGGTTCCCCCTGGAAACCATCGTGAACAATTCTTTTTGAATTCGTCACGATGGGCTAACTGACTTGCTTTATCCTCACCTATCATTCTTCACTGGTGCCAATAGCGCGGTTGGGGTTAACATTCCATTATCATTCATTAAAAAATAAAGACTCTGGATAAGCCACTCCCAGTAGACTCATACTCATATTTGCCAATGAAGTAATAAATGGATTACTAATCAATAAAAAGTATACAACTATAATATATAACATCCTCACACCAGCTGTTAACTGTCCAGTGCTGAACATAGGCCTCCCCTTTGGAGGGTTATGCTAGTAGTGCTTTTTTTTTTTAGATTACGCCAGTATCATACCTGGTAGGCAGGTTGGTAACCTCAGGTAGATGATGTTTTAATAGGGTTACCACTGCCAATCCCTCAACAATTAAATTCTCTCTTAGGCTCATGGGGCCACCCCAGGTAGCCTATTCTATTCCGTGAACCACACAACTAATAATAAAAGATAATGTGTTACCTCAAATATTTATCTGTATCTCTTGACTGTTGAGATTCAAGAATCCTATCTCTGGATACTGCTCTGAATGTCCCACCTCCTTGCAAATATATCTTCTCAGGTCGGTGAGACCCAAACGGATTCAGTCTTTCATCATTAGGGGATGTTAACGGTGATGGTGATGAAAATGGGTTATCTATGTACTGATCATGGTAGGGCATATTTGATTCTAAACTTTCCAGCATTCTTGTTAAGTCAGTTGGTCGACCTGGAATTAAAATATTTATAACAATAAATATAAATGTAAGGACATCATTCATAGGGCAATGTGTGGCAGCAATATTCTTTGTGTGTGTGTGTTTTTTTTAATGGGTGAAAATGGATTGGTAACCCCACCCGTGCTATCGGTATACACTGACGAGGCACCAGTGGAAGATGATAGATGAGAATGAATGCAGGTTAGTTGACCCACCATGACGAATTCAACAAGAATTAAACATGATGGTTTCCAGGGAGAACCGCATGGAGGTCAACCTGAAAGGATATATTGCTAGTAATGGGGCTATTAGACCCCATTACTAACAATCCCTTTCCCCCCCTCTTTGTGTATTAAATCTACTTGGTCTTAGTCAGACAGATGGGACATGGCCTGATGGTTTAAAATTATTATAATGTACAGCTCAAAATAAACATCTATTCTATTTTACTCAGACTGCAAGGACCATATGGTATCAGGCCGATAAAATTAAATATTTTATAATAAGCAATACTTATTTTAAAATTTAAATGTAGTAAATAATATTAATTTTATATACATATTATTGTATAAAATGCAATAATTTATTTTATAAAAAAATATAATATTTTCTGTTAACAAAGTAACCCAAAGCAGACAACAAAAAGATTTTGGCCTAAAATGAAAATTCATAAGCAAACATGTAACATTCTAATATTATAAATTTAAAAGTAAGTCTATTTATTTGTTTCCACTAGCACTAATGGCTCGATCCTCATAATTTTTAGTATACAATTAAATCCAAAAGGAGATAGGCTACTTTTTATCCCAGCCAATCAATATAGTTCAATTTTATAGATAAAGTAATATAGATTTATTCCATTTAAAAAAATATTTTATTAGCCCAATGCACTACCATTTACTCTCTGTTTAGTGTAAGCATTGACTGGTAGAAAATGCTATCAGGCATTAAGTCCACCTTGTATACATATTTAAATCTATGTAAAAGAATAAATAAAAAAAAAACTAGTCTAATTTAGATCAGTCTTGGCATTTAAAATATAGTTAAATATACCTGGCTTAGCTCCTGTTTTTCCTTTACTGGCTGTTTTAAACACTTTGGGGCTGATGTCTCGTCCATTGGCATTAGTGTCTTGTCTCTCCTCTCTGGTTTTCCGTCGAGTCTTTCTCGGTTTGTGACGTACATCCTTTGGTGTTCCATTGTTGTTTTCAAGATCGTTAGCCTCAATCTCCAATTCACCACTAAGAGTGACTACTTCATCTTTATTGTACTCTTTTAAATAATCATCAACCTGTAACATTTAAGTAGGATTATTATAATCCATTAAAAAAAACAACCAATAACTAACAATCGACACCATAGTCCACCTATACACACCTTTTCCAATGCACTGAGACTTGACCCAGGTATATCAAAATCATGCAGATCCCGATCCCTATGTTTTGAAGAGTGCCGTTTCTTCTTCCGATATGATGGACTACGTTTCTCCTTGTGACTGCTAGAGGGTCTCGATAATGTCTTCATAAACTTCTCGTCCAAACCATTAGGATCGTGGGAGTAAAATACGAAAGACGGGGTTTTATCAGACTTTTTGAATTCTTTCTCAACGAAACCTAAAATATCTTGCTTTATTTGGTCATGTATCGGCAGTTCTATATCTAAAGACTCGTGTTCAGATTTTATCCAACTATCCCGTGTTTTAGATTTATCTGTGGGATTATCTTCTGGTGCGGGAGCTGCCTCAATACTTTCCGATACTTCTGGATGGCCATTCGACAACTTTCTGGAGCCAGAACGCGATCTTGATCTGTTTTTATGCTTCGGAGATGGTGAACGAGCAGCAGTATGAACTTCTGCTATCTCCTCTTTTACATCAACACTCTTTCCGGGCTTCATTTTTATAGAAAAAAACTAATCTCCCACGTTGATAATCGCACTTTCATATAAATTGTTTCAACATAGTTATTAACCCTAATTTCAGCAGAGCCGCAACAATATAATAATATATAATATGGGCGTGCTATTCATTTTCATTTAGAACGTTATTCCAATTAAGTAATTTAAATCATAACTAAGAAAACAAAATGAAATTTTAATTTATACTGAATGTCAAATGTCATATCAAAGGTTATGACGTCATTGGAGTTGTGCGTGACGTCGTATTAGACGTTCCATTATACACAAAAAATTTTAACACTAAAATTATATTTCAGCCGTTCTTATTAAGATTTTCAACATAAAAAAAATATACTTTTCACGATGTGTTTAAAATAATTAGTACATTTAAGCATGAGAATATAATTAGTTTTTTTAAATAATTAATCCGATTTATTCCGATAGATGTCGTTACCTTACCCATTTAAATTTTTTTTATTACAACAATTTTATTTGAACAATACTTTGTATTACATGACACAGCATATAATCTCTTGATGTAGTTAATAATTAAAAAATTTGGGATAAATAGAATCTACATTTACCATACATTACCCATAAAAACAAACTTAAAACATCCCCAAGGTAGACGTAACTAAGTTCATGTGCTCTAATAGATACCTATTTCAAATTTTATTGAAACAAATTAAAAATATTCGTGATAATAATATTTTATACTGAGTAGTTATAATAATTATATTTTTCTTTTTAAACAAAATTTTATATGCTCATTCAGTAGGTACACTTGTGACTACCTACCTACTTATTATAAATTTATGTAGGCGCCAGCCGAAACCTTCTTGGTGCCAAGAGCTTTCATTGTTTTGGTTTGATATCGCATTAAAATTATTAGTAAGATACAGGCGCCGTACCGGCCGTACCAGCTGGCGAATGGAGTATATTCAGAATTTTGGAATGTAACCGGCCTTCAGACTGCGCCTTAGAAGTACGCGCAAGTTATGAGCAATGAGCGATCGTAGATCATTTTAACAGGCTTGATAACAAACTAGCGCTCCACCCTGACTACGCACGGATGAAGAGGTAGAAAATTCTATTTTTTTTATATATAAATTGGTTTCTATATGTGAAAGAATTTGAAACTCAAAACTTAAAAGAAATTCATCAATGAAGTCTGTTTCCAAAAGTTATGTCTTTCCTCTTTATAATATTATTTTAATTATGAAATTTTCTCAATTCATCTCTTATATTTATTTATGTATATCTATGAATACATTAGCCCTTTTGAACCGACAGCATCAAATAATGAGATTAATTTCAAAGAAGAAAAGATCAAGGTCAGTTTTTGTTTTATTCATTTTTTTATACTTTCGCATACATTAAAATACGAATATGTGCTACAGGGTTGACTTTTGGTTATACTTCGTGTATGTAAGTATTTTATGCAATATCTTCGCCAATTTTGGAGCGATTCTATTTCATCGATAGAGTTTCCTTTTGTGTTAGTCGTAACACTTTAGTAATAAAATCTTATTCTATATTCTAGTATGCATGTTAGATAATAACTTGAAGAAAACTTATAATAATAATGCTCTCACTTCCATTTAAATTTAGTGATTAAAGGATCAAATTTTCTAAGGTCATTCATATCTTACGACTGTAGTTTTTTTTTTTTTTATTGGATGAAAATGGCTGTGGTAGCCCCGCCAGTGTATCCCATTAGCGCAGGCGGGGCTACCACTGCCATTCTCATCGAGGTCGACCTGGTTGGATATATTGCTAGCAATGGGATTCTCAGTCTCCATTACTAACAATCCCTTTCCCGCCCCCCTTACGACTGTAGTTATAACTTTATACTATAGTTTTTAACTATAGTCTCAACATCTTTTGCTTTGGACCATACACACTAGGAAATTCTAAATATGAATAAAGGCGCATAATATACCTACTAAACTAATATAGAATTTTACTTAAGAACTTTGTTGAAGCAATACTTTGATACCAACATAGCACTTGAAAACATTAATTATTTTGATGATTATCTGTATTCAAATGGTAAATAATCATGTAGGAAATTTTTATAATGTCAGTTAACCTATATAGAAGTTTGGCTGTCTATCCGTATGTCATAGTCTTATATATTTTTTTTAATCCGATTGATAATAAAAAACTGTACGCATATGTTTTTTTTTTTTTTATTATTGGAATGGTAACCCCGCCTGCGCTAACAGTATACGCTGGCGGGGCACCAGTGAGAGATGATAGGTGAATAATAAAAAAAGCAGGTCAATCGGCCCATCGTGGTGAATACACCTGGAACTCAGCACGATGGTTTCCAAGGGGAACCGCGTGGAGGTCGATCCGCATTACTAACGATCCCTTCCCCCAGATAAAATATACGCATATGTTGTATGTTCAACTAAAGAAGTACATTCCCAAAAAAAATTATAAATGAAATTTGAATCGAACAATGAAATGTAAAATATAAATAATTGACAACTGAAGACATTAATTTCGTGTAATTAACAGCAATATTTAAACTAAAACTGAAAGGTTATTGACCTTAGCCTGTTTCTTATGGAACAAACCTTATTAAAAAAATATGCATATGTAGAAGAATAACTCTTACTTAAATAGGTATCTATATGATTTTTTTTGTGTTTGAACTAGTAGTATGTGGCAGTGAATTTGAGAGCAGAGCACAAAGGAAGGAATATGCTCTTTTCTTGAAGTTTATAATGTCGTATCGGTTCGGAAATACTGCTGTTGAAAGCGTGATTCCAAATAGTGGTTGTGCGTAGAAGAAAGTGCCTTGAAAAACTCACGGTGGAAGATCGCCACTTGTTCAAATGGTTGGGATGAAACTTTACTTTATGGCAGGTTATACAGTGATGAAAATCAGCAGCGGGTATCAATCCGAACAATTCCTCAGAGCACTCCCCATAATAAATTCGGTAGAAGATGCACAGAGATGCAACATCTCTACGCAGTTTCAGTGGGTCAAGTCGGACAGTAAGACGCCGATCGTCAACAATTCGAGCTGCCCGACTTTGAATGCGGTCTAACGGAAGGAGCTGGTACATAACTTCCTTCTTGGGGGATTTTACTAGTATTACACGCATTTATGCTAACTACGTAAGTCATAAAAATACTTATTTAAAATTATTAAAAATAGTGTCTAACTGTCAATAGATAATAAATTATATATACTCTTTAATCTACTATATAAGTAGGTATTACGCATTTACGTTATCCATCAATAATACAAAGGCTTTAGTTTTATCTTATCAACTCAACAAGGTATTGCTTATCAGATTGTTCTGATGTCACAGTTAAAATAGAATAAAAAGCTGCACTTTAAATGCAGAACAGCTGATTTCCATTATCTGTTTATGTTCATGACAGATCCCTTGCGGTATAGGCATAGAGAAGGTATAAAACACGAAAGGCCTGTCCGTACCTCTCTCTCGAACTAATGCAGAAACTTTATCACTATTAGATTTACAACAGACTTTGAAGAGAAGGAGATTTTCAATTTAGTTTTATTTTTTTATATTTGTTATTGGGTATCTCTGTCCCATTCGTGTTTCAACCGTGAAGCAGTGGTGTTTGCATGACTGTGTTTCGGTTTGAAGGGTGAGTCCTCAAGAATGGCAACGCATGGGGGGTATCATATCATCATTTCCATGGTACTGCTCATGTCTATAGGCGACGGTTACCACTTTCCATCAGGTGCGCCGTCAGCTTGTTTGCCATTCTAAGTTGTATAAAAAAAAATCACACACTTATATCAATTATTAGTATATTTTGTGCCATAAAATGAACAACGAAATAACTTCAATATATTTATCTTCCATTTCCTATATATTTAATTGTACTATGTCTAAAATGACATAGTCATTAAAAACCCGTACATGACCGACATCATTCATGTTTGTCATTCAAGTAATAAATAGGCTATGTTCAATAAGTGTTTTTTAATAACAGTTTTAAATTTATCAAAAGGTAAACCCAAGTGATAGAGATTCAGCCTACCGTAGTCATTAGCATTAATTTGATTTGTTTTTGATGTTTTCACCGGAAAGTTAATTGAAAATTTAAATTTAAATGAGTGTTGATTAGATTCGAAATCATGACCGGTCTCTTACACGTAGGCTTTGTTCAATAAGTGTTTTTAATAACAGTTTTAAATTTATTAAAAGGTATATCTAAAATATAATTCGCGCTTCGATAAACTTTATTACAAGAACAGTATGAACGCTTTTAAATTGACAAAGTTTTTGCAATATTCTAAAGTTAATCAAATCGTCTATCATGCGCATGCGCTGACATATACATGCGCTGTTCTCGGTAGAGCTGCTGTTTACTTTATTTTGCCCCATTAAAATCACCTACGGACCAGTTAAATTCAAGTTTACTTGTTACACAACTGTCCCCCCGTCTTAGCGTCACCCCCCCTGTCGAGGTCGTCCTCCCCTCTCTCGGGCGAAAGGCAGAAACTTTCACTCTTGGAATTCGGCGGTTGGTGTCCGATGACGTCACTTTTGCGCAACGTGATGCAACCTGAACCAAATTTGTATGCACTTTATTGTTATCTTATAAAATATTATTTTTTTATAAAACTTAAGATGGACAATAAGCTTAAGGCCCGCCTGATGGTAAGTAGTAACCGTGAAACAGAAGACAAGTATAGTTTTATTCTAAGCCTTTTTCGTAGAGGGAAAGGGATTGTTAATAATTGTGTCTAACAACCTCATTGCTAGCAAAGTGTCCTACATTGCTAGCAATGGGGCTGTTAAACAATTAACAGGTTAACCTCAACGCGGTTCCCATAGAAACCATCATAGGTAATTCTTGTGGAATTCGTCATAATGGGCTAACTGACCTGCTTTCATCCTCACCTATCATTTCTTACTGATGCCCCCCCAGCGTATGCAGGAGGGGTTACCATTCCATTCTCGCCCATTACAAAACTCCTTTGTTCGTATTTTTTACTCTTTAATCCTAAACTTATATCGACGCTGAAAAACCAAAATTTATTAAGCGCCATTTTGGGCGATATTAAATTATAAATTATTTATTTATTTATTCATTAGTACAAATATGTGTACATGGCGGACTTAATGCTAAAAGCATTCTCTCCCAGTCAACCATAGGGAAGTGTCAGAATACTCGAATGCGGTACTACTAATTATTGATATACATACATACTAAAATTA